AATGTGAAGTCTAAAAAACTTAAAGAGTTGTGGTATAATTTCACCATTTTTTAAGTTAAAAAGATAAAAAGAGTGTTGGCGGGCAAATATTAAAATAAAACGAATATGTTCACGAACGCTATATGAACATGTTATTGAATATGTTTATGAAGGTTACCCCTTTAAATAAAAAATGAATATGAATTGAACACAAACCGAACATCTTAAAAAATAAACAAACAAATACAAATATAATTTTGTTCGTTCACAGATTAATTTAAATCCTTAAACATTAAGTATATGAGATTGTATGTTTGTTTATACGAAGTTTTTGAAGCTCGTATATGAGTTTCTTTGGCCGGTTATACATTTGTATAAGAATGTGCATATTTTCCCCTTCATCTCACACATGCATACGTATCTATAAATGTTTCCTGTAATCTAATATTTCGTGTTTGATTAAGACTTTTCCATTACTTTCTCCAGGTTACAAACAAATGGTGAAGGTTATTGTTCAGGGAGCTTTATTCCCTGAAGTGGGCTTGCATGACGGAGTTGGTCATGCTGGAGGCTCAGGTGGACTTGTAATTGTTCGAGATCTCGATTTCTTCTCGTATTACGAGTCATGCTTGCTCCCGTTTCAAGTCAAGTGTCGTGTAGGTTATGTTCCATCAGGTCAGCGTGTTGTTGGATTGAGCAAACTGCCTAGAGTAGTTGATATATTCGCGAAACGACTGCAAGACCCACAGCGACTAGCCGATGAAGTATGCTAGGCTCTGGACATAGGAATCAATCCAGCAGGTGTTCCTGTGATCCTCCAGTGCTTGCACATTCATTTCCCAGCCTTCCATAACTCAAATCATCAAGGATGGAAAAATGAGCAGGTCTCTTCGGGTTTAGGGTTTTCAGAAACAAAAACTTCTATGCTTGTGGCAACTTTCTGTCTTTTGAAATTCAGAGGTGTAACTATGGTGCCCTTCCTATGCTTCCTCCATGGCTAATGGTTCTTCTGACTTTGTAGCGGGCAACCCTGGAATGGTTGCTGCAGTAGCTTCAATTGGTGGATCTTTGGGCGAAGATCCACTAAGGAAAGAGCTTATAGGAACTCCCAACCATTTAGTCATGCGGTTTATGAACTTTTAGAACACAAAAAAAAAAGATTTCGAATTCGGACTCAGACGTTAAAAAACATAAAATATAATTTTTCAAAAAATTTAATTTATCAAATTAAAGTTAACCGTCAAAATCAACAGATCAGGTCAAAGTCTCAAAACAAACTCAATGGATCAGACCGATTTAATTTGACTCAGATTGTTTTCGTGTTGACTCGATTCGGTCCACTTGGACTGATTCTAAAAGACTCCCAGAACTGTAGACGACATGCACACGACAACGCGTGGCGGCACGTGAACTGACGAGAAGGGATCTGATCAGCGACCGATTACTCCCAAGCTCACCAAACAACATTTGCAACCAAAAGTTTCACCAAAACAACCATTAACCATATCAAATAACCGGAAATACAACTGGACTTATCCAACGACGATCGGCAGAGGAAACGATGATCATACGATGACCCATGGGCTGGGTTGGAGACGAGGAATTCGAATGCGGTGGTGCTGAGGCGAATCGATGAACGAGGTGGCCGGAGTCGAAGAGGAACTGGCGCATGACCTAGGTTTCACTGGCGTCTTTCGAAAGACTTCCCTTGGTGATCGACGACACCATTCGACGAATAGCTAAAGGGATTTTGTTTGCCGGATGATGCTGAGTTAGCTGGACGTGGTGGTGCACTTCATCGCCTATCAGAGGAGGCTGAACGGGGAGGCAGCGCGGATGGTTGGGTTTTTTTAATTGGAGCCGGCTCACGAACACACGAGGAAGGTGAAATGGGGTTCTGGGTATTAAAACATGAAAATAAAACAATTAACATATATATTTTATTATTCTAAACCTAAATAATGATTTAGGTTGGTTGGTAGGGGCATGATCTGCTATTCCCTAGGTTTGGGTTCAAGCTTGGTCAGCCTCTTTTTATTATTTGGGTAAAGTATAATAATGATCACTGAACATTTCTGAAACTTGCATTTAGGTCCCCCAACATTTAAAACTTGCAATACAGTCCCTCAATATTTATTCCGTTTGCAATATAGTCCCCCAACTTAAACCACAGTTAGAAAATTAGGATAAATTATATAAACAGTCATTGAATTTTTCAGTCACTTGAATTTCGGTCCCCCAACTTTTAAAACTTGCAAAACAGTCATCAATTTCATTTTAAACCCCAATTTCCAAAGTAATTCAATTTTATTCTAAACCCTAAATTCTAAAATACTTCAATTAAATTCTAAAATACTTCAATTTAAGGTAATATAGGCTTGAAGAAAGAGTTCAAGGCACAGACACAACGAATAAAAATATATTTATATAAATGCATATTTATATTTAGATGTATAAATAAAAAATATATTCATATATTAATGTATGAATCATTTATATTTTTTGAATATTTTATTTTAATAAGAATTAAAATTATTAATTATATTAGAAATACTCAACTTAAGATTTATATATAATCATGAATTATAAATATGAAAAATATAATTATTAAATTTAGTTTAAAAATATATAAATCTTAAATTTATTCTTTTAAAATATTGTATCAACTATATTAAAAATATATTAAATCTATCAAACAATTTATCAATATAATATTTTTTATTGTAAAAAATATAATATTTTCCCATCATTTATTGCTTTCAAATTTTTTGCCGAAGTTCAAATCTCATTTTTTCCATTTTACATTATATCTTTTTTTTTTTCTGGCATTGGTCATACTATTAGTATATTATTATTGTATATCTCTTACACAAACGATGATGTTAGCTTAGTGGCTCCACCCTATATCTTTCATTTGCGTGACTCAGGTTTGAGTTTGCCCAGACCTAAATTTTACTTCTTTGTAACTTAATTTTCTTCTAATTAGGAGGTGACATGTCACCAATAACACATATCATGATCATGTGTTAACACATGTCAGATCCTGATTAAATGATTAATTTATTAAATTTTATTTAATTTAGGACCAAATTGATAGCATATAAATAATTAGGTGGTAACACGTGTCACCAATGACACGTGTCATGATCATGTGCTAACACATGTCAGATCCTAATTAAATGATTAATTTATTAAATTTTATTTAATTTAGGACCAAATTGATTATATAAATAATAAAGACTGAATGTATAATAATGTCAATTCCTTTTAACTGTCACATCATCATTTTTATCAATTGGTAACGACTAGTGGCTTAGTTGAAACAGTTAAATAATTATGTGGTATGATTGATAAATTTAAAAGATCGATGAAAAAGTAAAAGGGCTAGATAGTTAAGTTGTCAACCGAGTAGTTTACACTTTTATTTATACGTCAAATAACATTTTATAAATTTAAAATTCGAATTATTTTCAACCTCTTTTATATCCTAACTACTTTTTTAATTAAAAAATTTCTTCAAGATAAGAATTATACTATTATATTTATATAAAATACGTATCACATGAAATAAGATGAAATTAAATAATAATAACTTTGACATAATTGAATTTAATTTAAGTATTTTAGAATTTAGGGTTTAGAATAAAATTGAATTACTTTGGAAATTGGGGTTTAAAATGAAATTGATGATTTTTTTGCAAGTTTTAAAAGTTGGGGGACCTAAATTCAAGTGACTGAAAAGTTCAATGACCATTTATATAATTTATCCTAATTTTCTAACTGTGGTTTAAGTTGGGGACCATATTGCAAACGGAATAAATGTTGGGGGACTGTATTGCAAGTTTTAAATGTTGGGGGACCTAAATGCAAGCTTCTGAAATGTTCAGTGACCATTACTATACTTTACCCTTATTATTTTTGTTGTTAGATGAGTGTGGGTAAATTATAGGATTGGTCCCTAAATTTCTTAAATATTCAAATTTAGTTTAAAAGTTTCAAAATTTTACAATTTTGTCCTGAAAAACAATCAATTAATTTTAAATAAATTTCAAATAAATTTTGAGACGTTACATGAACAAATATATATTATCGTTTATTACAAGAGATGGAAGTGAAAGAAAAAGAAAATCTAAGAACATACCAATCATGGCCTAAACCACATTTGCATGCCCAAAGATGGGAGTTATCCAAATAGTAAGAACGATATGATTAGGTTAGTCATTGGGGGTGACATGAGTATGATTATATTTTCTGAGATATTACATGTATATGTAGTAGTATCGTTTTAGGTCACATCCTTATATTCATGTAAACAACATCATTTCATACATGGATTTGTGAGGGCTGAGACACTGGCCTTCCACGTTTAACAACCAGTCGGCAAAGAATTAGAATCCCACTGGTTTCAAGCAGTAGTTACCCGTGAAGTCTCTCCACACCGCTTGTGCTGCCGGCCAAAAGAACAGGACGTGTTCAAGTGTTTCATTTTTAATATTAAATCTGAGATGGTTTTATAAACATTTATGTTTGGTTGTTTTTCACTAGAGATTGAATTTAATGTTTTGTAATGGGTACCAAAGCGATGGAAGTGACAAAATAATAATAATTATCATATATAGAATTTTATTAAATTAATCATTTGACAGATTCTTTTTTGTATTTGAGATTGTTTCAAATTCAATATTAACTACTAAAACGAAGAGTCTATATTTTCTATTAAACATTATATTTTCTTAAAAACGCTTTTATAATTTTTTTTAAAAAGTTTCCATATATTTTCTATTTTTTTAAATCTAAATTATTTTTAAACTTTATTTTTCAATTTGGTATGCTCAATATGAGAAAATATAAAGTTCGAGTTCTGGTTCTGGTTCTGGTTCTGTTATAGTTTTATACAGGTCGGTGGAAATGAGAGGAAAAAAAAATCAATTTCATTAATGAAATGGGTAGGCCTTAACATAAAAAATGAGGGCTCGAAACAGCCCATGAAGAAGACCATCTCAGCTCATTGTTCTCGTTTTATATAAATCTCATCCAAGCCAAGTAAAGATAATCTGAGTTCAGTGTTTGGAATTTGAGAGTGAAACAAAATGAGTATCAGCCGCGCGTTGAAGGTGTCTCCGATTGTGCTTATTTTGGTTCTTTTCGCATTAGGTAAGTTCCTTACCCGATCAATCATATCGTTCATTAGTTATACGTTCTCACCACTTCCAGATCTGATCGATTGTCGAAACGTCTCTTGCCTTCTGATTTAATCTTTATAATATATATATATATATAATTTGTAAGCAATTCAGCTTTCTTACGCTTTAATTAATTATCCGTTTCATTCTTGTACACTTGAAACTTCTCAGCGAATGCGAAGAAGTCCGGAGATGTGACCGAGCTGCAGATCGGCGTCAAAGTATTTCTTTTCCCATTTTATTCGCTATTTAATTACATTTTGGCGTATCTTTTCAGTTTTCTGATCGGAGTTAAATCAAACGTTGTGAAATCCGTCTCTCGTTAGCTTTTTTTTTTTTTTTTTTGAAGGAAATCGTTAGCTTTAATCGTATTTTGGAGGATGTTAGGTTTTAGTTGTCTTATTTCCCCCCTTATTTATATACATTTATTTATCATTGATTTTTCATGGCCGTTTATCTACGAATTTGGAATTTTCTACTTTGCTCATGAAATCTAACGAAATGCATAGTTCATTTACAGAATGAGGCTTTACTTTTTGTCTTTTAATTTGGTAAATTTAGTTCATGTTGTTGAATTTTATGTACAGATAAATAAATAAACTGACTGTTATTTATTGTTTCTCATTCTTTTTGGTCCCTTTTATCTTCGTTTTTGTCATCTTATCATATGTTCTTTATTACCTTTTTCACAGTATAAGCCCCCATCGTGTGAACTCCAAGCTCATAAAGGTGATAAAGTCAAAGTGCACTATCGGGTATGCTTTACTAGCTTCAGCTGGAAGTTAAGTTTTATTATCATATTGACCCTTGAGCATAAATGACGAATATTTTCTTGTGCCTTTCTCCCCTGCTAAACATTTTTCAGCTCTATATATGTTGTCTGTTTTCAACTTTCTAGCATGCTCTTTTGTTGGATTCTGGAAATAGGACTTGGTTTAAAGTTTAAATTTTTGATTGTGCCTTTTCCCCCTGTTTCAGATATCATTTTTGTTGTGAATTTTTCTATTTCTAATTCATTGCATAAATGATTTGTTGTGAATTTTTCTGGTTAAGAATTATTGCTCTCAAACTTTTTATGGTTGGAATTATTCGTTTAACTACTAGGAGTTTCTTGGTTTTACATAAATTTTCATTCCTTTTTGCAGGGGAAGCTCATTGATGGAACCGTTTTTGATTCCAGTTTCGAAAGGGGTGATCCCATTGACTTTGAGCTTGGTAGCGGACAAGTAATCAAAGGTTAATTCCCCTTGAGAACCACTCCACCTTTTGTTATTACTCTGAAAATGAATCGTTTCTTTTACGACCAGATTGCTAGTTCTTTACATTGCATGGAGTTCATTGATACCTGAAACTGGATATGCTATTTGCAGGATGGGACCAAGGACTGCTGGGGATGTGCGTCGGTGAAAAGCGCAAGTTGAAAATACCCGGCAAGCTTGGATATGGTGAGCAGGGTTCTCCGCCCACCATCCCAGGTAAGATATCTGTTCTTGTTCGAATTCGTTTACGCTCCACTATACAAAATGTTAGGACGGTAATGATAGACAGTCATCGGTTAGTATAATATTGAAGGGATGATAAAACGACAAATTTGTGGTTGTGCCGAACTTAACAGGTGGAGCAACGCTAATATTTGAAACCGAGCTTGTTTCAGTGAACGGGAAGCCATCAAGTGGTGGGGATACAACTGACGATGAGCTATAAGATTAGTCACCCGCAGCAGATTAGCGGCACCTTTTGTTTTCCTTTTAGAAACGGTATATGGATGGCGTAGCCTCAACATGTCTCCTGGCCAGTAGGATTAACTAAAGCATTTTCCATTGGTTTGTTGGAGAGAATATAAATGTGCAATTACATTAATAAGCCGTTGCCAGAACTGATAAAAGTCGTGCATCTCTGATAATGGTCATTTTCTATGGCACGCAAGCTTCAATTTCAATCGCTAAATGAAACAACTTCCATGGTTCACAAACGTTTAGCATCATTTCATTAGAATCGATTAATTTTGTTTTATTTAGTATTTGAACTTTCTTTTATTTAATTTAGATGTTTGAATTAAGCAATTATGTTCCTTCGTCAATTTCAACCAAAAACTTAATTTATGTACTTAAAAGTATTAAAATTTATATTTACCTATTAAAATTATTTTTTTTTATAAATTTAGAGTGAATGCTAAATAATATTTGTTTAAATACTTACCCATTTGACATTGAATGCTCATAACCGTATTATAACAAATTATTTTTCCACTAAATAATTCGTGCTACTCATTAAAATGATGTTTTAAATTTTACGTTTTTGTCCATTTAATTCATCAACTTGATTTTTCTATTATTTCTTTTAACAATTTCTATTTAGAAGAGGGAGAAGAAGAATATTGCTTCTAACGAACCTACAATTAAAAAAAGAAATATCAATAGAAAACTTTTAATCACCTATTATAAATGTTATTGATTTCTATCATTTTGATAATTAAATATTAAGATATTCATTGCTAAACTCAGAATGCCATATCACGAAAAATATTAAATATAAGAAAAATATGTTGGTTTTAAAATTAGTGTGGAGCAGTAAATTAAAAAAACTAGAGATCAAATTATAAAAAAATAGAGATTTAAAATTATTTTACGAAAAAATAGAGAAAATATAACATCTCTGAATTTGAAATAGGGAAATTCTGGAAGCTTCCTAACTTATAAAACAATAATTAAAGTACCATCACGTTTCTCGCTAAACCCTTTAGTTTGGAAGCCTCTAGAATCTACAGTCTCGCAATAAATCCCTCTCTCTGCACATCTTCGCTTCTCTGAGATTTTCGTTCACGCTCTCGCCTTCTATTCAACGAGCTCGTTCTAGCTAACACTAGATTCCACGACTCAAATGGATGAGGATTTCGATATACCGGCGGCCGACGATATGATGAACGAACACATCGATCTCCCCGACGAGGCTCCCATTATGAAGGTCGGAGAAGAAAAGGAGATCGGAAAGCAAGGCTTGAAGAAGAAACTTGTTAAGGAAGGTGAAGGTTGGGATAATCCTGAAAGCGGCGACGAAGTTGAAGGTATGAATTATAGCCTAAACTAGGAATCGAAAGCTAAAAGAAAGAAAAAAAGAACTTTTTTCTTCTGAAAATGTTTTGGAGTCTGATTGGTTGTTGTTGGAACAGTTCATTATACGGGGACATTGCTGGATGGAACTAAATTCGATTCGAGCCGTGATAGAGGGACTACTTTCAAGTTCACTCTCGGTCAAGGTAAATGAAGATTGCCACTTTCGCTTTTGGAAATCCTGAAAACAATTTTAATATGTTTTATATTGAATTTGAAGGATATGGTGAAGTTGGAAATTTTAAGTTTGGTTTTAGCGTTTTGCACTTTTAACATGAGTTCAATTCATTTGTTCTGAGTAGCATGTGCTTAAATGTTATCCAATTCATTTGTTTTGTTCCTTTTCCTGCGAGTCTCTGAAATAAAACTTGTGTTCCAGCTGTTCAAGTTTCTGATTGTGAACAAGAGTTGCGAGTTTGCTTCATTTGGAGTGCATTAATTAGTTTCGTTGAATCTTTGCGTGTGTTGCATTTAGAAGTTAGTAGTATGGAGTACCGGATTCGTATTCTTTTTACTGTAATTAATTTGGTTGATTCTATGAGTTGCCTGTTGATGATAATAAGTTCATGTTATGGCAACCATGAGAATGGTGGTATATGAATTTGAATCCTTTATTGTAAAATTTATGCTGATTTTGTTGAAGTGGGAAATTCTTCTGATTGGTATTTCGCGTTAATATGGTATGTCTATTTTCTTTTAATGTTTTCAGGACAAGTTATTAAAGGATGGGATGAAGGTATAAGACAATGAAGAAAGGAGAAAATGCTATTTTTACCATTCCTCCTGAGCTGGCATATGGCGAGCCTGGCTCGCCACCAACCATTCCTCCTAATGCAACCCTCAAATTTGATGTTGAATTGCTATCTTGGTCTAGCGTCAAGGACATTTGCAAGGATGGTGGGTTATTTAAGAAGATACTGACTGAAGGAGAGAAATGGGAGAATCCAAAGGACCTTGATGAAGTACTAGGTATTATGATATTTCCTTCTTTGTTATTTATAATTATTATCTATATGAATGAGTGATTGATTGAATTAGGTTTAATGATGGGTTTGTATCTTGAATCTAGTTAACTATGAAGCTAAGCTCGAGGATGGAACAGTGGTTTCAAAAGCTGATGGCAAAGAGTTCACGGTTAAGGATGGTTTGTATTGCGGATCCCCTTTCTTTTCAGTTAATCTCCTAATTTGTCTAGAGTGATTCTTGAAATTCCCGTGGCTGTTTCATTTTGTAGGTCATTTCTGTCCTGCATTGGCTAAAGCTGTTAAGACTATGAAGAAAGGGAGAAGGTACTTCTTACAGTGAAGCCACAATGTAAGTTATTCTAATTAATTTCCTCTGAAGAATGAAGGTAAATACGAATAGTTCTTTTTGTTAACCTCATTTTCCGTGAAAAAAGATGGCTTTGGTGAGAAGGGGAAGCCAGCTGCTGGTGTTGAAGGTGCAGTGCCTCCAAATGCCACACTCCAGATTACCTTGGAGTTGATTTCATGGAAAACTGTCACTGAGGTCACTGATGACAAGAAGGTTATAAAGAAGATCCTGAAGGAAGGGGAGGGATATGAGCGCCCGAATGAGGGGTCTGTTCTTGAAGGTCTGTGTTACTATTATGAGAGAAATTTCGGTTTTCTGCATGCAGTATGCTAGAAACTTGTCACTTAAGCATCTATTTTTTCTAAACCTTTTGTAGTCAAATTGATTGGGAAGCTACAAGATGGTACTGTCTTCTTGAAGAAAGGTCAAGCTGAAGGAGAAGAGTTGTTCAAGTTCAAGACAGATGAAGGTAACAAACTAGTTGTCATCTTCCTCTACCCTCAGACACCAATTCAATGATTTTAGCCAAATGACCTCTTCTTGAAATTTTGTACAGAGCAAGTCATTGATGGTCTTGATAAAGCTGTGATGACGATGAAAAAGGGTGAAGTAGCCCAGCTGACTATTGCACCTGAGTATGCTTTTGGGTCATCTGAGTCAAAGCAGGAGCTGGCTGTGGTTCCCCCTAACTCAACCGTGTACTATGAAGTCGAGATGGTATCATTTATAAAGGTTAGTGGATCAGTGTCCTTGTATGATTTTAGTTCTTTGTTGTGGATCTGTGATGTACCCCATTTGGAAGTGAATTAAAAGTGGCTTTGATAAATTGTTCTTGCAGGATAAAGAATCATGGGATATGAACACAACAGAAAAGATTGAAGCAGCTGGTGAAAAGAAGGAAGAAGGAAATGTATTCTTCAAGGCTGGTAAATATTTGAAAGCTTCCAAGAGATACGAGAAGGTATGCAGTTGTGGTGCAATTGGATTGGCTTGTTAATGTTTCTCTTCCAATGCCTTGTGATTTAATTGGTGTTTGTGCATGCAGGCTGTGAAGTATATTGATTATGATACATCCTTCAGTGAAGAGGAGAAAAAGCTGTCAAAGGCATTGAAGGTTGCTTGCAATCTGAACGATGCTGCCTGCAAGCTGAAGCTAAAGGACTACAAACAAGCTGAGAAGTTGTGCACCAAGGTTTGAGTGGTCTTGACAATTGCAGTCATAACATTTAGCTAGATCTTGTAGCAATACTAACAGTTTCATGTTATGCGGACGCAGGTTTTGGAATTAGAAAGTTCAAACGTGAAAGCCTTGTATAGAAGGGCTCAAGCATACATCCATCTGGCAGATTTAGATTTGGCAGAGTTCGATATCAAGAAAGCTCTTGAACTTGATCCTGATAACAGGTAATTTGATTTTTCAATAGGCAAGGAAGAAACAGTTTTTTCCAGTCTGGCATTGTTGAATGTCTTTGTAAATGATTTGTTTTGCTACCAGGGAGATTAAGATGGAATACAAAGTTTTGAAAGAGAAGATCAAGGAGTACAATAAGAAAGAAGCCAAATTCTATGGCAATATTTTGCCAACATGAATAAAGTAGAGACTGCCAATGTAAGTATTTGAGTGCCCGTATGGATCTTGGCCACCCTTGTTGATAAAGTGATTGAGATTCACGGGTACTTTGTTTTTAATTTCTGCAGAGATCAGCTGCCAAAGAAGCTACTCCAATGGGCATAGATAGCAAGGCATAGGTGGGACAGTTGGAGTGGGGCATCAACCGTTTAACTACTTTTGTTTTATTGTTGGCATTAAGAATGTTATGATCGCTGAATAATAAATTATAATATTCAATATAAGCATTTTTACGGCTTGCTGTATCATCTGGTATATTCTGGGAGTTGGAGATCAAATCTTGAATGCTCTGATTGAGCTGGTTATGTTTGGTAATTGATAGAATACTTGGTGCTGGAAGTTTTGGCATCCGTTTGCTTAAATAGCGAAATTTCTTCTGCTAAGTTTTGCGATGTTTTCCATGAACGGTTGAAGCTTCTAAGGGACCCCTTGTTTTCCCCTCAAAATATTTAGCCATTTGCTTCCTTTAGCCCTGCGCAAATACAGATGAAGACTCCTCAGCTCTTGGACTTATGTTTCCATAGCTGCTCCAAGGAGCTTTTTATCCTGCTCATATGCGTCCTTTGTGAACCTTCAACACTTGGCTTGGACTACCTTACTCCATAAGGATTGATAACAATTATGTTCCAAATTTTCAAGGCTGGGAAATTTAAATATCGAAAATGAATGAGGATGTATATTCTACACGTTCTTTACCACCATTCCCTCGGTCATTTCGAAACAAAGAAAAGGGAACATCGTTAACGATTTGAACCCAAACCTAATAGGAGCAATGATTCATATCGGGTATGAGTGCTAATATTCTGGCGTCTCATAGAGGTG